TTTAAAATTTGTCTTCAAACTCGAGGGCTCCGCTATGGAGACAATGCAAATAATTTTCAGTTCATAACATAAGGACAAAGACAAATCGAAAAAACTATTGTATATAGGATATTCCGCTCTTGCTATTTGCATTGTCTCCATAGCGGAGCCCTCGAGTTTAAAGACAAATTTTAAATAGCTCCGTTTCGGAGCCCTCGAGTGCGAAGGGTCAATAACAGTTGTGTGCAGATCAGTGTCGATCATGATTGAAATAATGAATATATGATACACAATAATTGATGATAATAGTGATAATAATAATAATAATAGTGATGATGATTATGGTAATGGAACGAACTTATTCAAGAAGGAAAAAAATACGAAGTAAATAGATGCAAAGTTAACGTGCAAAGTTAACATTAAAATTTATTTGTACGATTTAGGACACACGCACAATTGTTAAATTTAATCAACAGTCATTTATTGATTGATCAACATTTCTTTGTAGAAATGTTCCTGCTATCGTGGAAATGTTTAACGAAGAACTTTTTCTGCTTTTATAACTGAGATACAATGCAAATGCATGGCTAAACCACTGTTGAGACCACGTTATTGGGCTGACGAAACTCTCAATGCACTGTCGTGCGATTTGGCTAGCTACTACCGTTCCATACTGCAAGTTTGCGTCCGGGAAAATGCAAATTTGGTTCGTAAATGAGATCACTTTCTCTGAAAGTTGTTTTTAAATGAGACAATCATATTGGGAGTCCCTTCACATATTCATCGTAAAGATTAAAATACTTCGACTCTATTAAGAATTCGGGATAGCAAAAATTCCATCCGTCGAAGCTAATTTCTATATAAAATGGCTAAACATTTGTATGTATTTTTTACTATACTTTTACATACGAGGGCAGTCCGATAAGTANTACTTAGCCTACAAAAGAAAAACGAAAATTTTGGAAAAGTGGCGATTTATTTCTCAACATAGTCTCCTTTTAGCTCAATACACTTGACCCAGCGATACTCCAACTTTTTTAACCCATCTGAAAAATATGTTTTCTCGAAGTCTGCAAAGTAGGCTTCCGTGGCGGCGATGATCTCCTCATTCGACTCAAATTTCTGCCCGGCGAGTGACTTTTTCAAGTTTGGAAACAAAAAAAAGTCGCACGGGGCCATGGAGAATACGATGGATGGGGCAGCAGTTCGTAGTCTAATTCGACCAATTTGGCCGTGGCGACGGCGGAGGTGTGAGCCGGTGCGTTGTCATGGTGGAAGAGAGAATACTTTGCAGACTTCGAGAAAACGTATTTTTCAGATGGGTTAAAGAAGTTGGAGCATCGCTGGGTCAAGTGTATCGAGCTAAAAGGAGACTATGTTGAGAAATAAATCGCCACTTTTCCAAAATTTTCGTTTTTCTTTTGTAGGCTAAGTACTTATCGGACCGCCCTCGTATATATAACGTGACAACTCGCGACAAATGTATCGAATTCCGGAATGTTGAGAGAATATCTTCTCGTAATTCCTTATTTTCATAATATTCTAATGAAGCGTATATATTACCTGAAAACTGCGAATCCCCAAGCTCCCACGGCTTTGCCTGGCAAGTTTCGATAAAAGAGAATACGTATTGTCATATTTCTCCACATTTTGCCCGTGTAAACTCTTAAAAAGCCGTTGGCCTTTTTAGCGATCTTTCGGACCGCAATAATATTCTTTTCCACGTTCCTCGCATAGCACAATTTGACATTGTTCTGTGTCAAATAATCCATATTGTTTTCAACAAGCGTGATCGTCACTAGGTAAACGGGCAGGACAAATGTAAGATCCGTCCTTTTTGTTTGTTGTGCTGAGACTTCTGGAGCTGAGCTTCTATTCCGAAATTGAACGTTTCGTTCTTATACGGTATATTTGAGAAGGCCTGAACTCTGGCTGAATGCACGATGGAAATGTTGAAAGTTGCCTTGAACGTTGGCTGGTCCCAGCTTGGCAACAAGCGTCGAGCACCAGTCGGTTCGAAAATAATTATGTACAATACGTTGACCTAGTTGCATTTCAACGATAACATTTCGTAGACGTCTACGTTGCGTTTCTCAGTTTTTACCGTTTTTACAGTTTTTAAATGTCTCATTTCTAAAAAATTAATCCATGAAATTGGGGTAAAGTGCGAACCGATCATGGCATTTTCTATATTTCTTGCAAATTCTTCACAAACAAAATGCGATATCGCGAAAGCTCGTGTTTTCTTACAAACTATAATGATTGCAGCACTATCGAAAGGAATTCTTTAAAACCACAAACGCAAAATTTTCATTAGTCGCGGCGACATTCCCATGGTCCTATCCACACACGTATCAATCGTATCGTTTTTCTTTTCCAATCGTACCGTCAGAACAGTATCCACGGAAACGTACGAATATGTTTCTAAATTATGAATTAGACTTAAAACAAAATGCGGAACGGTCGATCTTACGGTAAAGCTATCAACGGCTGCGTGGAAATATGTGGAAATATTTGACGAGTGTTCGGGCGTAACGTCAGCCATGTTATGAAGAGCACAAAAAGCTGAAGATAAAACAGTATTATTATACTCTATATTATTATCGTTTAATTCATCATGCAGTTGTTTTTGCAGACGTCTTCGTTGCGTTTCTCAGTTTTTACACCATCGAAAGGAATTCTTTGAAAACACGAACGCAAAGTTTTTAGTTAGAAGTAATCGTAAGAACGGACGGTTATTTGTATCTATTAGATTGGTGCAAATGAAATGGCCGTTTATAAATATAATGTTGAAACTTGTATTTTTCAAATTTAAAACTTACATAACTAATCAAAATAGCTTCCTCTTACTTCAATACACTTCTGCCAAAGTGATCCAAGTGCACAAAGCACTTTCAAAAAAAATCTAGAGAGTGTGAATCGATAAACTCCTTAAACGCATTTTTCACACTTCCTTCTTCATTGAAATTTTTGCCGGCCAAAAACGCATCCAGATGCTTGAAAAGATGATAACGTCATCAATGACGGAAGGTGCGTGTCCGCGAGACAAATTGTCGAGATTTGTGTTCCCAGAACGAAATTTTTCAAAACAATGTCTCGTCGTTCTTTCACTTACAGTACCTTCACCAAATGCAATATGAATCTTACGCGTTGCCTCGGCTGCAGTATGACCAAGTTTGAACTCGTATAAGTAAATTATACGAATTTTTCTATTTTCCATCACAGCGTTAATGCAAACTTCTATGATTAACAGTACAATATAGAAATAAGGTTATGTGCGTTAAATCACATGTGGATCATGTACTTTTCACACAGTATATATACACCGTCCTCTGTATGAAAGAAAAGTAATCTATAGAAGTGGGAAATTCAAAATACTGAATACGACCATTTCATTTGCATCAAACTAATAATTGAAAAAAACGTTTAGGGCAAAGGTTAAGGTACAAAATATTTATCTCACAAATATATCCAACAATTGGCTTATGAATTTGCAACGGCAAGTGATAATAGAGTATACCGAGTAGTGAGCAAGTTGCCGAATAGTCGTGAGTAATATTTTCCTCCGCGGCGGCAAGTATCAGGCCGGTGCTGAAGAATAATCTGTAAAACGCCAGGCCATTTCTCGTTCCTGGATCTGCAAAAAAGTTTCTCTTTTTGACAAGGGAGAAATGTGTACATACACGCACACATGTACAGGGAAAAGAATAATTTTGCTGCTTTAACGAAACAATCGTCGTTACTTTTGCATATTCGTTGCATTAGAGATAAAATTTACTTGCCATAGCCAAATTAGAGAATTGTTCATAATTAAAGCAGAAAAACAGTTTCGTTGCTACAATAGAAAAAATTTGTCGTGTGAATTTGTCCTTAGAACATGTTAATTTGCTATAAAGATAAAATAGTGTTTTCCTATCAAATTACTAATTTGTTCTTACAGCGAAATCATTTTTAAATGCAGCCAAATTTATGAATGGCAATTAATATTTTTAACAAATCGTTTCGCTATTCACACATATAATAATTGACAAATTTTGTTGCCACAGCATAAAATTAGCTATGCCAGTAAATTATTTTTCTCCTTCTATATTCGTGAACTTAATTAAATAATAAACTAATTAATCAAAAACAATTCAGAATTTTAATGTATTCGAAATTGATTTCTCCTACCATTTCAATCCAAGAACGGTATCACTCGATGTCGTCGCAATATCGGTTTGAACAGTGAGCAGAATCTGAAGGTTTATAAATATCTCGCAGAGAATAGCGATAGACACGGATAACATATATTGTCACCCAGACGTAACAAACAATTATTCCGTTACAAAAAATAATTAGTTGTTCTGTCCTTTCTGGTCGTTATTGTTTGTTTCGTTTAATAATAATGGAATTATCTATTCTTTGTGCGAGATCGATCGACTATAAGTCAACAATACTTAACGTTTTGTTAATTAATTATTGTCGTGTGCACATCAACGTCGATGACGTTTGAAATACACGACATATGTTAATTGATGATAATAATAATAATAGCGACAATAATAATAACAATGATGATAATGCAACGAACTTACCCAAGAAGGTAGGAGCTATGAAGTAAAAAAAAGCCAAATTAATATGCAAAGTTAATAATAAAATTTATTTGTACGATTTAGGACAAGTATACAATTCTTAAGTTTATTTAATAGGCATTCGCTGATTGATCAGCATTCATTTGTAAAATTATCATAGTGGAAACGACTAATGAACCGCTGCTTTTGTTCATCTATTTGATATTCTCGGTAGGCAATCCAATCTATAAGTTGGTCCCTCAAACTAGGTATTTCACGTATGTATTGTGATATCTAAAGCAGATTATAATACACCAATTAACATTACTTCGGCTTGCCCTCAGAAAACTTTGTAGCGGCGTCTTACATAATAGTTGCAAAATAGTACGCGCGGCGCATGTGCACTTAATTGAAATTAATTTAGAATGTGCGCATGAATAAGAGTGGGATGTGTAAGATCGTGAAATTTACCTCGTCAAGTTGACACTTGGAGTACACGCTCATATAAATGTGAGTTATTTTCTCCACGGCGGTCATGTGACTGTAACATTCATGGAACAGATTAGCCTTAATGTATCACGACAAACATATACAGGATGAAGCATTTATTATCGCTACTTCAAATATATTCAAGAATAATAAAAATAATTGATTAACTACTAAATGAAAATAAGAAAAGTTAACATTTACACAAGGTGTTCGAAATGATGACCATTGCTATTAATTTTCCGTCAGAGATAGGTTTTTCTCCTACTGTCATATTTTGAAGATAATCAAGATGGTAATAATTATATTGCTCCACTCTGTAAGATTGCAAATGTGGTAGAGAAGAAAAAAAGAAGGCTCCTTACCCTGGCAGTATATTGTTGAAATTGCTCAAGATAAAATCGAGTATTTTAGGTTTTCTAGCATGCATCTTCACAAAATCGCGGAAGAATTTTTTTAACTGAACGCTTTCGTCCTGTGTCGCTTCAGTTTTGAGTAGGAACATTTCTACTTCTTTCCGGAGCAAGTCATCGTCTTCGACACAAATCATATATTGAAAAATATCTTTGTTCTGTGTGCGCAAAGCAGACAGAAGTTCAGATAAAGTGTAATTGTGTACGTGCATCAGACCCGCGCAATACATCCAGTCGTTCCACAACGGCGACGTGCTACGTAGAAACAAATAAAAAAGAATTGCAATAAATATTTGGCCGCAGTACCAGCCACAATCAAGTAGTTCTATCAAATATTGTAATAGTTGAATATGGGATTCCCGTTTATTTAGATAATTACCCTTCATTTTTGGGACCATGGATGTATACCTTCAGTTTGTCGTGTGCTTTTTTTCTGCAATTATCGTGCCCATGTCTGCAGGCCCAATTCAGGAGTAATAATCTCAATGCTTTCAACATATCATCGTCTTCAAGATTCTCATAATATCCTATCTTCATCAAAACCGAATCCATGATTTTCAACATGAGATTCTGGAAGAATCGTTAAGTAATATTAATTTTTCGTACATTGCGCGTGTGTTACTTCGAAAATTTTATGCTTGAAAACTTACGTGTACTAGAACTCATTGTCATAGTATCGGAATATTTTTATCTTTGTTATTATGCAAAGAAGGAAAGAAAAAAGAAGAAAAATATACCTTGAAAAATGTACTTTCTGGGATGTTGAAGAATGGTGACGCATAATGCAGAACGTTCATCATACTGTGCCATACTATAAAATTCGTCTCTTTCTGTAAGTAACTAATCAGATCGTAAAAGATTATATAATTAAAGGTTCCGTCCATTAGAATATGGTACGCATCATCGATGATTTGAGCACGATTGAGAACATGTATTTTCGTATGATCCTCGTTATTCAGATGCTTCACGATTTTCATCCAATTACCAGTATCGTAATAGACGCGATAGTAGCCTATCGTAGAAATAACGAATTAGTCCTCCTTTCAATTTTATTGTAATGAGCGTGTGATAAAATTGAATAAACGATCGGTACACACCGAAGTGTTGCCTGTCAAATATAAAGTAATTTTCTGGTTCGCCTCCTTGAATAGTGAAAGAAGTGTTAACGTTCTGCAATAAATCGTCAGTCGTCAACTTTAAAGGAGAGGAATCTAGCAGGAAACGAATATGTGGTGGTGTCCCGAATATTATTGGTATTGGCCAGTCGTATTTGTAACTAAGAATTGCAACATCTATACTCTTGTCGTTATCATTTTGTACAGCAATCAATGTTGGAAAACTTCTTTGGGAGAACCACATATGCATCATCTTCGATATTTCCCAGTAAGAATCTATATGTTCCTCAGGTAATGCTTGCATTTTTTTCTGCAGAATCCTCAAGAAATTGATTGGTGTAGCGGAGCCGTATGCACTGTTTAAGTAAAATATATTTTACAACATTAGAGCCGTGCAAATATCGAACGATATAATAGCTTGAAGAAAGTAACGAAATAATTCAGCTTTCTATTTTACTAAATATTATTCATTTATCCATAAATATTTATTTACCCAGGAATTCCAGAGATTTATCACATCTTTGAATTTGATGTATGTTGAATTGCGATGATGCATCATTACATTTCAAATGATAAATTTTGATAAACTTTGCTGTATTGCATATAATTGTCATGTTATATTGTGACGCATTACTTACTATTTCCGTATATACCGAGCAAGTGCACGTTGCAATACTTCCTCTGTGGCGATAACTTCCAACATCTTTAACATAGCACATGCTGGAATATAATACATCATAAAAAGTGAAAAAATTAAATAAATTTTACAATATTTTAAACAAATTTATAATATATTATAATACAATGTGCATTTTCATGATTATTTCGCAGTCTTTTTCGATATAATGTACGAATATTAGTTTTAAAATGGTTAAATAAATTTCCATTGGATTATATAATATAATTAAATTTTAATATTGAATAAATTAATAAAATAAATTACTGACGCATATTAAACAGGCGTTAAAATGTGTTTCAAATTTTGTGCTGTTTGTATTCGACATTTTACGAAAGATCATCCGAGTTATATTTCATTTATATGACATTACTTTCACCTTGTCTTGAAGCAACGGGCATAATTTATGATTACATTGCGACTTTTGTGCGTTTTTACCTTTCTTATGAATGAGAGAAGAATAAAACGGATCATAATCGTCTGTGAGAGCTGGCATTCTTAGCTCTTTATCATTATGCATTGCAGGCAATATAACTTGTACCACAAAAAATTGCATCATAATATCCGGATCATATTCTTTCTGAAATTAAAAATCGGAAAAGATAAAAACAAAAATCAGATATCAGCAAAAAATTTCATAATATAACAATAACATATGATATCTACGCGTGACATGGAATAGTTTAATTTTTACTGAATATTTTGAATTTCGGGAAAGCATTATAACATTTGAAGAATCACCGTTATATTTTTTTCTCTCATCATAATTTTTTTCTATATCAATAATAGGTTCATCAAGCCTTATAGCCAAGCCTTCTCAACAACGCCCACAAGCGACTTTTTAACTACCCAATTGCAACCATGTGTTACCGATGATAGCGGGACAAGAAAAAAAGAAAATCACCTTTCCAGCTATTTTATAACTGAGATACGTTGCAAATGCACGGCTAAACCACTGTTGGGACCACGTTATTGGGCTGACAAAACTCTCGATGCATTGTCGTGCTATTTGGCTAGTTACTGTTTTCCATATTGCAAATTTGCGTCCGGGAAAATCGAGGATTCGCTTGTAAATGAGATTATTTTCTCTGAAAATCATGTTTTCAAATGAGTCAGCTGTGTTTGGAATGTTAAAATTCTATGCGTTGACAACGATTTCTCTATGAAATGACTGTACTTCTGTATATATATGCAACTGAAACGACCGTGACAAATATATCGAATTCCGGAGTGTTGAAAGCATCTCTTCTCCTCATTTCCATAATATTCTAATGAAAAGATTACCTGAAAACTGCAAATCCCCAAGCTCCTATGGCGTTGCTCGGCAAGTCTCGATACGACAGAATACGCAATGTCATATTTACGCACATGCGGTGTGTGTAAGTATTTAAAAAGCGATTGGCCGCTCTAACGATCCTTCGTACGATTCGCATGTGTTTCCCCGTGTCCCCCGTGTAATACAATTCGATGTTATTTTCTGCCGTATTATTTGCAACGTTGCCGATAATCGCGATCGTCACGAGGTAGGTGGACATGACAGGAGTAATGTGGAAGTCCGTCCTTTTTGTCCTTCGTGTCGGAACTTTTTCAACTTCCTCCCCGGAGGAATTAGACGTTTCATCCCTATGCGGCATGTTCGAAAAGACTTGGACTTTGGGTGAGTGCACGACGGAGATGTTGAAGGTAGCTTTGAATGTTGGATGATCCCAGCATGGGAACAAGCGTCGAGCACCCATCGGTTCGAAAATCGTTATGTACGCTGACCTAGTCTCATTTTAACAATAATATTTTCATCACGACAGAACCTTCATCCCGTTTCGAGACATTAATATCATAAATCACTAAATCCATGCTCTTTTCACCATAGGTGAGATTTGGACAACGTTATAGGTATTTTATAATTAAAATTTTTCAATAAATTAATCAACCAGCGTTTTTTGATAAATATACGTTATTCTCGTTTAACACGCTTACATCGCGCTGGAAATGTTTTGCTTAGTTTTTTTCATACGCATGTTATTTGTTTATTTTCTTCTTAGAAAAGCTGGATCTTCGTTATTATATGACGTAAATAAACGTTAATACGACGAATCAAAGTCAAGCTTTTCTAAGAACAAAATGAAGAAATATCACGCGTATAAATAAATCAAACCAAAATTTCTGGTGTGATATAAGCGAGTTAAATTAAAATCTCGCATATTCGAGGTACCTATAAGTAATGTCATTTTTTTTAGGTTATATAAACATTGCCACCTCGTTCGTTGTTTGTAATTTATTATTACATAACCTATATACTAATTACATTTATTGATATTTAATGTGCTTATTTTGAAATTTTGAGAGAATTTAACGTAAAATAAAATAAAATTTTGTATAAGTAACAAAAAACGACATTATTTACGGGTATCCTTAATATTTATTGAAATACGCTGGCCGATGAATCGAGTCAAGTGAAATATATAGACATATATATAATAATAATGAAGATATAGAAATATGTAGAAAATGTAACTCGGACATAATGACGAGCTTATCAGTTCGATGGAGACTAAAAATTCGGAAACGTTATACAAATTCCTCAAAATATCACGCTCGATAAGCAACGTAGCGGAAACCGTTTTTTCTGTATTTTATCTGCTTATCTTACTCACCCCATGGTTTTTAAAGGGTTTCTAGTTACAACGAGACCCTGGGTTTTATGTGAAGTTGCTTCGAAGTTTATATTTAGCGTGTAATTTCCAGTTGACAATTTCTCGCTAAATTCAAGAGCCAGCATTTGCGACAAATTGCAATATGTAAAATCCGTCCAATTTACGATGGTATATTGACTATTATGGCTCTCTTCATGCTTCAGAAGCCTCAGTGTTGTGAAATTTATGGTCAAATCGTAAACGTGAAAAATAATGCTCGTAGTTTCAAAAGTTACTTCGAGGAGTATGCTACTGTACCCGACGAAGACGTCTCGCTTTTGTGTCAGCGTGATATTGTAATGTCGTGGTACTACATACAACGGTAAACGATAATGGGATAAGCAAATCGCCGGAGACTCGCTGATATTATTTGGCTGTGAAACGGTCGTGAATATCAGTCCGGCGCCGAACAAAAGTCCGAAAAACGCCACGCCAGTTCCCGTTCCTGGTATCTGCAAGAACGTTTCCCTTCTTGACAAAGAAGAAGAGACAAAAGACGTACACGCGCACATACGTGCGGGAAAAAATAATTTTGCTGTTTTAGCAAAATCATAATTGTCACGATAGCGACAAAATTTTATTGGCATAACCGAATTAGAGAATTGTTCGTAGTTAAAGAAACAGAAATAGTTACAGAAATATTTTTGTTGCTAGTATAAAAAAATTCTGCTGCGTGAATTTGTTCTTCGAACACGTTACTTTGCTATCAGAGCAAAAATATTGTTTTCTTACATTTATTAATTTTTCCTTTTTTATGGTAAAGCAATGTTGAGGTCCAACAAAATATATCCAGCAAAATAAATGGCAATAAGTATTCTTAATACATCGTTTTGCTATCCACGTAATATCTGACAGATTTTGCTGTGACAGCATAAAATTTGCTGTGCCAGCAAATTACTTTTCTCCGTGTATGTTTGTGAATTAAATAACGAAGCAATTATTTGACAATAATTTACAGTTTTAATATAATCAAGAATTGCTTGCTTTTTCTTACCATATCAATCCAGGAACTGTATCAGCAGTCAGTGTAGTTACAATAACGAATTGATCAGTGAAGACCTGACGGTTCTTAAATACTCGCATTAAAGGGCTTTACATCGACAAACACAGGCGACGCATATCGGTGTCCCGACAAAATAAATTATCATTCCGTTTCAAATTGCAAATTATTTGTCCCGTCTTTAGCGATCGTTATCGCCATCTTTGTGCAATAATATTGAAGATATTGTGTTGTTTATTTTGCACGAGATCGATCGACTTTAAAGCTCTTGGCATCTTGTATTTAAATTTCAATATCATTTATCTTGACTTATACGGACGATATTATAAATTTCGTCCAGCGGTAACAGAACATTATTGAATTATTTACTTTATTTCAAATTGATCGACCATAAATCAAAGAAATCTTATCATGTTTAATTTATAACAGTTATATGTGAATCAGTGTCAATCATGATTGAAATAATGAATATATGATACACAATAATTGATGATAATAGTGATAATAATAATAACAATAGTGATGATGATTATGGTAATGGAACGAACTTATTCAAGAAGGAAAAAATACGAAGTAAATAGGTGCAAAGTTAACGTGCAAAGTTAAAATTAAAATTTATTTATACGATTTAGGACACACGCACAATTGTTAAATTTAATCAACAGTCATTTATTGATTGATCAACATTTCTTTGTAGAAATGTTCCTGCTATCGTGGAAATGTTTAACGAAGAACTACTTCTGCTTTTGTAATTGAGCCGAAAGGTAATCGAATATTTGACTGAATCGAAAGGTAATCCAATATTTGACTGAAAGTTCCACTTTCAAGCTGGGTATTTCTACTTCGTACTGCAATATCTGAAACAAAATTTAATACATCAATAATTAACATTTTATTTTAGCTTACTCTCTGAAAACTACGTCACGTAATCATTTACATATTAGATGCAAGGTAGTATACACAGTACATGTGCATCTAATTGAAAATTATTTAGAATATATGCATAATTAGTAGAACAAGATTGTGAAATTTACCTTGTCAAGTTGGCACTTGGATTACACGCTCATAAAAATGTGAATTATTTTCTCCATGGTGGTCATGTGATTTTAACATTCATAGAGCAGATTAGCCGCAAAGTGTCACGACAAACATCTACAGGATGCGGCAATAAATATTACCATTTCACATGTATTTAAGAATGACGAAAATAATGTTTTAACGACTAAATGAAAAGATGAAAAAAGTTTATATTTACCTTAAGTGTTTCGGAGTAAGTGATATCAACGCGATTTCCCTTAAAGATAAATTTTTTCTACCACTCTCGTATTTCGAAGATATTCAAGATGGTAATTATTATATAAGTCACACTCCGTATACGGTAGCGAACATTGTAGAAAAGAAAGGAAAGGACAGCGCTTCACCTCGGCAGTAAATTATCGAAATTGTCCATGATAAAATCGAGGACTTTAGGCTTTCTAGCGTGCCTCTTCACAAGTTCGCGAAAGAATTCTCTCAAATCAATACTTTTGACTTTGTCGAGGACCGGATTTTAGCAACATCATAAAAACGATGAAATGTTGAAAGCTATGAGATTATTACTCCTGAATTGGGCCTGCAAACATGGTCACGATGAATGCAGAGAAAATGTCCACAACAATCTGATGGCACACATGCATGATCCTGAAAACGAATTGTAATTATCTAAGTAATCGGGAATCCCATATTCAATTATTACAACGTTTCGCAGAATTGATTGTAACTGGAACTGCGGCCGAATATTTATTCTTTTTCGTTTTTCCATATTCTGCAAAGCATTTCATAGTGATGAATACTCGGTTTTTAGCAAATGTCTCATTTCTAAAAAATTAGTCCATTAAATTGGGATAAGTACGAACGGATCATGGTACTTTCTATATTTCTTGCAAATTCTTCACAAACGGAATGCGATATCGCGAAAGCTCGAGCTTTTTACAAATTATAATGATGGCCACACCATCGAAAAGAATTCTTTGAAAACAGGAAAGCAAAATTTTTAGTCAGACGTAATCATAAGAACGGACGGTTATTTATATATGATTAAAAAAAACGTTTAGGGCAAGGGTTAAGGTACAAAATATTTATTCTACAAATATACCCAACAATTGGCTTATGAATTTGCAACGGCAAGTGATAATAGAATATACCGAGTAGTGAGCAAGTTGCCGAATAATATCTCGCGAGTAATATTTCCCTCTGCGGCGACAAGTATCAGGCCGGTGCTGAAGAAAAATCCGTAAAACGCCAGGCCATTTCTCGTTCCTGAATATGCAAAAAGGTTTTTCTTTTTGACAAGGGAGAAATGTGTACATATACGCACACATGTACACGGAAAAAAATAATTTTGCTGCTTTAACGAAACAATCGTCGTTACTTTTGCATATTCGTTGCATCAGCGATAAAATTTACTTGCCATAGCAAAATTAGAGAATTGTTCATAATTAAAGCAGAAAAACAGTTTCGTTGCTAGAATAGAAAAAATTTTCCGTGTGAATTTCCCCTTAGAACATGTTAATTTGCTATAAAAATAAAATAATGTTTTCCTACTAATTTACTAATCTGTTCTTAAAGCGAAATCATTTTTAAATGTAGCCAAATTTATGAATGGCAATTAATATTCTTAACAAATCATTTTGCTATTCACGTATATAATAATTGACAAATTTTGTTGCCACAGCATAAAATTAGCTATGCCAGCAAATTATTTTTCTCCTTCTATATCCGTGAACTTAATTAAATGATGAACTAATTAATCGAAAACAATTCAGAATTTTAATGTATTCGAAATTGATTTCTCCTACTATTTCAACCCAAGAACGGTATCACTCGATGTCGTCGCAACATCAGTTTGAACAGTGAGCAGAATCTGAAGGTTTAGAAATAACTCGCAAAGAATAGCGATAGACACGGATGACATATATTATCATCCCGACGAAAACAATTGTTCAACAAACAATTGTTCCGTTAAAAAAATAATTAGTTACCCCGTCCTTTACGGTTTATGCTTGTTTAATGCTTTGGTTATTGCTTGCTTCGTTTGATAATAATGGAATTAACTATTCTTTGTGCGAGATCGATCGACCATAAGTCAACAATACTTAACGTTTTGTTAATTAATTATCGTCCTGTGCACCTCAACGTCGATGATGTTTGAAATACACGACATATGTTAATTGATGATAATAATAATAATAGCGACAATAATAATAACAATGATGATAATGCAACGAACTTACCCAAGAAGGTAGGAGCTATGAAGTAAAAAAAACGCCAAATTAACATGCAAAGTTAACAATAAAATTTATTTGTACGATTTAGGACACGTGTATAATTCTTAAATTTATTTAACCGTCATTTGCTGATTGATCAGCATTCTTCTGCAAAATTTTCAGTGTGGAAACGACTATTGAACCACTCCTTTTGCTTATCTATTTGATTTCCTCGGTAGGCAATCCAATCTATAGGTTGGTCCCTCAAACTGGGTATTTCACGTATGTATTGTGATATCTAAAGCAGATTATAATACACCAATTAATATTACTTCGGCTTGCCCTCAGGAAACTTTATAGCGGGGTTTTACATAATAGTTGCAAAATAGTACGCGCGGCGCATATGCACTTAATTGAAATTAATTTAAAAGGTGCGCATGAATAAGAGTGGGATGTGTAAGATCGTGAAATTTACCTCGTCAAGTTGACACTTGGAGTACACGCTCATATAAATGTGAGTTATTTTCTCCACGGCGGTCATGTGTCTGTAACATTCATGGAACAGATTAGCCGTAATGTGTCACGACAAACATATACAGGATGAAGCATTTATTATCGCTACTTCACATATATTCAAGAATAATAAAAATAATTGATTAATGACTAAATGAAAATAAGAAAAATTAACATTTACACAAGGTGTTCGAAATGATGACCATTGCTATTAATTTTCCGTCAGAGATAGGTTTTTCTCCTACTGTCATATTTTGAAGATAATCAAGATGGTAATAATTATATTGCTCCACACTGTAAGATTGCGAACGTGGTAGAGAAGAAAAAAAGAAGGCTCCTTACCCTGGCAGTATATTGTTGAAATTGCTCAAGATAAATTCGAGTATTTTAGGCTTTCTAGCATGCATCTTCACAAAGTCGCGGAAGAATTTTTTTAACCGAACGCTTTCGTTCTGTGTCGCTTCAGCTTTGAGTAGGAACATTTCTACTTCTTTCCGGAGCAAGTCAACGTCTTCGACACAAATCATATATTGAAAAATATCTTTGTTCTGTGTGCGTAAAGCAGACAGAAGTTCAGATAAAGTGTAATTGTGTACGTGCATCAGACCCGCGCAATACATCCAGTCGTTCCACAACGGCGACGTGCTACGTAGAAACAAATAAAAAAGAATTGCAATAAATATTTGGCCACAGTACCAGCCACATTCAAGTAGTTCTACCAAATATTGTAATGGTTGAATATGGGATTCCCGTTTATTTGGATAATTACCCTTCATTTTTGGGACCATGGATGTGTATCTTCAGTTTTTCGTATGCTTTTTCTCTGCAATTAACATGTCCATGTCTGCAGGCCCAATTCAGGAGTAATAATCTCAATGCTCTCAACATTTCATCGTCTTCAGGATTCTCATAATATCCTATCTTCATCAAAACCGAATTCGTGAGTTTCAACATGAGCTTCTGGAAGAATCGTTAAGTAATATTAAATTTTCTGTATGTTTCGTACATTACGCATGTGTTACTTCGAAAAGTTTGTGTGCCTGAAAGTTATGGGTACACAAACTTAATACTTCGAATTCTACGTCACAGTATCGAGACATTTTTGTCTTCGTTACTCCATATAGAAAAGAGAAGTTACACAGAGAAGTTACACAAAGTAGTTACTACATTGAGAAGAAGAGAATAATATTTACCTTAAATTGTATACTTTCTGCAAAGTTGAAGAAGGGTGACACATAATGCAGGATGTTCATCACACTGTGCCATACTATGAAATTCGTCTCATCTTGTAAGTAATTGATTAAACCATAGAAGACTATGTAACTAAATTTGCTCTCCATTAGAAAATGATACGCATCGTCGACGATTTGAGCACGATTCAGGACGTGTATCTTCGTGTGATCCTTGTTATTCAGGTGTCTCGAGATTTTCACCCAATTGTTATACTCGTAGTAGACACGATAGTAGCCTATCGTAGAAACAAGAATCAGTTCCTTGAATTGTTTTGTAATGACCGTGTCCAGTGATAAAACCGAATGAAGTGTCGATACATACCGAATTGTTTCACATTAAATATAACTAGATGATCTGGTCCTCCCCCATGAATATCGAAAGAATCGTTAAGATTCCGTGACAAATTCTTGAACGACATTTGTAAATGTTGCACGAAACGGATATTCGGTTTTTTCTCGAATATTACTGGTGTCGGCCATTTATTTGGTTCAATTTGGGAATATCTTACATCAAGTGTTTCAACATTTATCCTCTTGCCACCAACAGGCTCTACAACAGCCATTATTGGGTAGCGTCTTTGCGAGTACCACACATGCATTATCTTCGTTATTTCCCAGTAAGGTCTTATATGTCCAGAAGGTAACTTAAGCATTACTTCCTCCAGGATGTTCAAGAAATCGATTGGTGTGGCGGAACCGTATGCGCTATGCAAGTAAAATATATTTATAAATTATTAAGTAAAATATACATTATAAATATATTTTATAATGTCGAACATGTAAATATTGAACAACATGATAATGAAAAACAACATGAGATTTTAAGGTAACGAGATACTTATTACTTCGGCAATCCATTTTGTCAAATAATTCATTTATTCCCTAGATATTTATATACCAAAAAATTCCAGGAATTTATAATACCTTTGAATATGAAGTAGAATTGTTATAACGAAGTAGATCGCATTATTACATCTCAATTGATAAACTTTACTATATTGCACATAAGTCATATTATATTGTATTGCGACATATTACTTACTATTTCTTTATGTATTGCACAAGTGCTCGTCGCATTATGTCTTCTGTGACAATGCATTCCAACATCTTTATCATAGCAGATGCTATGATATAATGCGAGTCATAAGAAATGAAAGAAATAAAATTAATTTCATTTAAATGATGAAAATGTTTAAAGTAAATGTAACCACAATATGCGTTTTAATGTTTATTTCATAAGCCCTATTGATATAGTGGATAAGTATTGGTTCTAAAATTGTTAAATATGTTTCTATTGAATTATATAATTATATAATTCTGATATAAATATATTTAGAAAAATAAGTTTGGGCTTTCGGGAACTTGTTTTCAACAAATTTGTTTTTCTAATGTGTAACTTTCCACAGAGTGTAAAATTACTATCATTTGTTTGCACGTGCCACCATGGCTCTCGGCAGAAATTTTAATTTATATGAATCTTCGCGCGCACGAAATCTTCTCCGTTTTTTCTTGTTTACTTATAGTAATATTAACACATTTTGTACAATTTTATTGTTTTGTGCATATTTTTGTATTTTACTAAGGTTAAATTTGAAAACAAAATTTTTACTTTTTGCTCAAAAATCGCTCCAAACTTCAACTACATCTTTGGGAAGGATTGTCCCAATTATATTTAACCTGTATAACTTTACCCTCATCTTATCTTTATGCAACGAATATACTTATGATTGCATTGTGACATGTACACGTTTTTACCTTTCTTATAAATGAGAGATGAATAAAACGGATCATAATCGTGTATAATAGCCGGTACATTCACTTCAATATCATTATGGAGTGCAGGCTGTAGAACCTGTACTACAAAAAGTTGCGTCATGACATCTTCGCCGTATTCCTAAAATAAAAAGTTGTGAACGATTAAAAGACGAGAAAATATATTAAACTTAGCTATACATATTTCGTTTTTACTACAAACAAAAATGATGTACCGACACAAATTTTTATAATATATCAATAAATGCATGGTATCTACGTTCAATATGGAATGCTTTAACATTCTACTGAATGTTTTAAACTCCAAGAAAGGATTGCGACAATTTAATCATCATTGTTTTTTCTTGTTTCAAGGACATATTAATAATAGCTTCATTAAGTTTGATTAGGTTCATCAAGCCTGACAGATCCAAAGACGTCCGCAAGCGACTCTTTTAATCTAATTGCAGCCGCATGTTACCAATGCTAACGAAATAAGTGAAAAGGAAAATCACCTTTCCAGCGATTTTATAACCTAGATACGTTGCAAATGCACGGCTAAACCAGAGTTGAGACCACGTCATCGGGCTGACGAAACTCTCGATGCATTGTTGTGCCATTTGGTTAGCTATTTTCTTCCACATTGCAAGTTTGAATCCGGGAAAATGCAAATTTCGTTTGTAAATGAGATCACTTTCTCTGAAAACCATGATTTTTAATGAGACAATCACATTGAAACTCTTCTCGCGTTTTCATTTTGGGCATTAAAATAATTTGAAACTATTGACAATTCGGAATGCGAAAATTCTGTCCATTCAAGCTAATTTCTACATGAAATGATTATACTTTTGTATATATATATATATATATATATGATTGAAACGTGGCAAATGCGCATGTTCCGGAGAATGTTGATAGAATCTCTTCTCGTGCCTGCTCATTCTCATAGCATTCTAATAAAACACATTACCTAAAAACTGCGAATCGCCCACCTCCCACGAGATTGCTTGTCAAGTTCTGATACGAGAGAATACGCATTATCGAATTTCCCCACTTGTGTTTCGTATAAGTATTTAAAAAGCCATTAGCTCTGTTAGCGATCTTCAAGACTACTTTCACGTGGTTCTGCACGTTCTTCGCGTGGTGAAATTCAATGTTATTCCTTGTCGTGCAATTTGTAGTGGTTTTAACAATCGCGATCGTCACGAGGTAGGTGGGCATGACGGGAGTAATGTAGAAGTCCGTCCTTTTTGTCCGTGTTGGAACTTTTTCAACCTCCTTCCCGGAGGAACTGCACGTTTCATCCCTATGCGGCATGTTCGAGAAGACCTGGGCTTTGGATGAGTGTACGACGGAGATGTTGAAGGTTGTCTTGAATATTGGCTGGTCCCAGCATGGGAATAAACTTCGAGCACCGATCGGTTCGAAAACCGTTATATACTCTGACCTAGTAGCATGTCAACATCATTTTAACCGCAATAGAACCTCTACGTATTTGTGAGACATTAATAATCATCAACATTAATAATCAATAAACCGATGCTATTCTCACGACAGATGAAATCGGGCAGTGTTAGAGGCATTTTTTCAGTTAGAATTTTTCACTCAATTTGACGGTCATCGGTTTTTCGATAGATGTGCAAGATTCCGATTTAAACATGCTTAACCCTTTGAGTACTGAATTATTTTAAGATTTTTATGCCCATGGGACGGATTTAATTTGTCGCTATATGGATTAATATGTAAAAGTAATACATTTTATGCCCAAGTAAGCAGATGACGAGTCTCTCAAATGTACCGAAAGGGTTAACACCACGCTGGAAATGTTTTGCTCGGCGTTTTTTGCACGCGTGATATTTGTTTATTTTGTTCTCGAAACAACTCGATCTTTACTCGACGCTTTAACGTTTGTTTACGTCCATTGCATCGCGTGAAAAATATATAATTGTACATATAATAATAATTAACAACTATAGAAAATGTAGCTCGCACATAATCGCTAGACTGATCAGTTCGATGGAGATTAGAAATTATGAACCTCATGCAAATCTGTCGATGTATTGCGCTCGGTAATCAGTGCAGAAAATGAAAGTTTCTTTGTGTTTTATCTCTTACTTACTTTGAGGGCTTTTCTAAGCTTTGGGTTCTGACGAAACCCCGAGTGCTATGTGAAACGGCTTCAAAGTCGATGTTCAGCGTGTAATTCCCAGGAGAAAGTTTTTCGCGAAATCTGAGAGCAAGCACCTGCGTATGATTGCAATACTTATAACTTGTCCGATTTACGAACGTATATCGACTGTTATGATTTCCTTCGTGCTTTAGAAGCCTCAATAATTCGAAGTGTATGTTCAAGTCGTGAGCGTGAAAAATTATGTACGCAGTTGCACGAATTACTTCGAGGAGTATACTGCTGTACCCGACGAAGACGTCCTTCTTTTGTGTTAGCACGATATTGTAATGTCGTGGTGCTACTTGTAAAGGCAAACGATAATCGAATTTATCGAATATACAAGTTTGCGGATAATCGTCGGTTTCATTCAGCTCTGCAGTGGCGAGTATCAGAATAATGCTGAACAAAAGCCCGAAGAACGCCAGGCTACTTCTTGTTCCTGACATCTGTGAGAACGTTTTTTTTCTTTTTGACAGGGAAGGTGAGACAAAAAACGTACACGCACACGTATATACGAAGAAATAGAATTTTACTGTTTTAGCAAAACCACATCGTTGCATATTCGTTATGACAGCAATAAAATTATTTGCTATATTTAAATTATAGAATTGTTTATAATTAAAGTAGAAACAACTTTGTTGTGTAGAATTGAAAAATGTTGTGATTGGATTTCTCCTTATAACATGTTGATTTGTTGTTAGGGCAAAATAGTGCTTTCATTTAGAGCTTTAATTCTACATTTAGTGATTTGTTCTTACCGCAAAATAATGTTTAGATTCAACAAAATATATCCAGGGAATGACAGTTAGAATTCTTAACAAATCGTCTTATCATCCGCATAGTAATTGACAGATTTTTCTGCGACGTCGTAAAATTTGCTGTACCAGTAAATTATTTTTCTCCGCGTATGTTCGCGAATTTAATTAAATAGTAAACAAATTAATTGACAACGATTTATCATTAAATCGAGTCTGCTTTTTCCTACCTTTTTAAATTAGCAATCAGGACTCGGTGTCGTCACAAAACCAAACTGATCGGTAAGCAGAGTTTCTAGGCTTATAAATATCTCGCAAAGAATAACGTTATATTAACAGACACGACGACACGTATCGGCATTCGGGCGAAACGAACGGACGTTTTAAATTTTAAATATTTGTCCCGTCTTTCGCGGTTTTATCGTAAGTTTCGTCCGACAATAGAGGAATTACTGTATTCTTTACTTTTTTTCGATCAAGATTTCTCGAGATATCTTAAGACAAGTAAAATTTAACATTTAGTTAAATAGTTTGTTAAATAATTATTATTGTGCGCAAATCAGCATCGATGATATTTGAAATAGCGAACGTATGATATATGATAATCGCTAATAATAATAATAATAATAATAATAATAATAATAATAATAATTTCTGCTGCTGCTGCTGTTGTTGTTGTTGTTGTAAACGATTATCATATATCATAAATATTTAACAAATTATTTAACTAAATGTTAAGTTTTATTATGATAATGATAATGGAACAAACTTATCCAAAGAGGAAGAAATATAACACAAATTGCAAAATTATCATTAATATTTATTTATGACACATTGTCGATTTAGGACACACGTACAATTGTTGAATTTAAACAAAATTCATTTGTTTATTGATCAACATTCATTTATAATACGATTGTTGTGGAAACGACGTGCAAATATATATTTCTGCTTATTTATTTGATTCAGTCGAAAAGTAGTCCAATGTTCAGCCTTAGATCTCTGCATGTACCAACTTATTGATCCATTTATGTATTCCGATATCTAAAGCAGATTGTTTAACGCATCAATAAGTAATATTACTTTGGCTTACCATCAGAAAACTTTGTCGTGGCCTAATCTCTTATATAACAAGCAAGACAATTCGCAAGACAATTCGCACGACGCATGTAGGACTAATTAAAAATGATTTAGAATATTCGCATAAATAAGAGTGGAATGAGTGAAGTTTACCTGGTTAAGTTGACAAGTGGAATATAAACTCATAATAATGTCAAGTATTTTCTCCAGTGTTGTCATGTGACTGTAACATTAATGGAACAGGTAAGACTTAAATAGACACGACAGGAATATACAAGGTGAGGCAATAAATATTACCACTTCACGTATATCTTCGGAAGATAAAAATACTTTACTAATGACTAGACGAAAATGAAAAAAGTTTATATTTATAAATGGTGAGTGAAGTGATGACCACTGAAATCAACTCAATTTTTATTATAGACATTTTCCTCCCACTCTCTCATATTTCCAAGATATTTAAAGTGGTAACAGTTATTACCTTACCTTGTATGGATTGCGAACATTATAGAAAAGAAAAGACAGCTCTTTACTTTGGCATTATTTCGAAAAAAGCGTGGAGGATGTAATCTAGGATTTGTTGTTTTCTGGCGTGCTTCTTCACTACGCTGCGATATAATGTCTTTAACCGATCAGTCGACACTTCAGTCCATTTACCACTCGATCTCGTGATGATCATTGACACTAACTCCTTGAGCAGGCTATCGTTATCGATACAGTCACTGTATTGCAACAAATGTTGGTTTTTTGCTTGTAAGACACGATCCCAAGTTTTATGCACAATGAACTTGTCCGCGGTCATCAGACCAGCGCAATACGTCCAGTGCTCCCAGCCCGGCAAAATGCTAAGCATAAAGTGACAAAAAAGAATTACAATAAATATTCCACCTCAGAAGTCTAATAACGATTTAATGGCTTTACGGAATGTTAAAATAGTTAAATGCTCGGATAATTACTCATTGCTTTTGCCATTGATGTTTGCTTTCAGTTTGTTTTGGGCTTTTTTTCTGCATTCATCATGACCATGTTTGCAGGCCCAATTCAGAAGTAACAATCGTGTAGCTTTCAGCATCTCCTTGTCGTCGGGACTTTCATTGTATCCGATCTTCGACAGAGCCTCACCCATAACGCCCAGAATTAGTTCCTGGAAGAATCGTTTATTAATATTAATTTTGTACATCGTGCGCGTATTACTTCGGACATTTTGCACCTAAAAGTCGTCTGAACTTCGTGGTATCGAGTTTATCCTTGAATTTGTTACTAAGTTATACCTTGAATTTTGCACTTTCTGGGAAGTTGAGGAATGGCGACATATAGTGCAGAATGTTCATCATACTGTGCCACACTATAAAACTCGTCTCATCCCTTAAATATTCGATCAGCTCGTAAAAGTCCACATAATTATATTCACCATTTATTACAAAGTGATATACATCATCGATGATCTGAGCACGATTCAGAACATGTATCTTCGTGAAGTCATCATAGTTTAAATATCCTATGATTTTTTTCAAGTTGTCAAAGTCGTAATAAGTGCGATAGTAGCCTGTCGTAGAAACAAAGGAGTTTTTATTTTGGATTGTTTTCTAATGAGCCTTTCTAGTAACGAAACAGAAAACGAATAGTCGGTACTCACCGAATTGTTGTACGTTAAATATAATCAAACCGTTTCGTTGGTCCGCATTAATTTTCAGAACACTATTGTGCGCCGAAGTGTTCAGCCACATCGTGGATAAATTTCGCGCGAAATTTAACTTTTCTGTCGTGTATGTTACTGGTACTGGCCAGCTGTTTTGGGATTGTCTTCTTTTATAAGGTTTAATGGTAATATCATTATAACTTCGTTGAATAAGCAATGTTGGGTGACTTCTTTGCCCGAACCAGGTGTGCATTATACTCGTTATGTTGCAGTTGCATTCTACGTTGAATTTTTGCATTTTGTTTTGCAGTGCCTTCAAAAAATCAGTTGGTGTGGCGGAACCATAAGCACTGTGCGAGTGAAATATTTTTCACATTAACTATACAAATATCGAGCAGCATGGCAGCTTGGATAAGCGTAATGAATTACTTCGGTTATCCATTGTAAATAATTTATCCATATATATTTATTTACCCGAAAATTTAAGGAATTTATAATATAATTTAAATCTTCAAATTGGATGTTGAATTGTGATTACGTAATAGATCGCGTTATTACACCACAATTAATAAACGTAAATTGCAAAAAATTTGTAGTATTATGTCGTATTATGATGCATTACTTACTAGTTCTTTATGTACTCTTTAAGCGCTTTCCGCAACACTCTCCGTGTAGTGACATATCCGAACATATTTATTATAGCAGAGGCTGTGATATAATGCGTACCATAAGAAGTGAAAAAAATAAAATAAATGTAATGTAAATTTTAAATCAATTATAACGCATTATATTTTTTTATTATTATTTCATTGCCATTGCCGATATAGTAAATAAACGTTAGTTATAAAATTATTAAATATGTTCTTTCCCCATACACATTGAACTGACATAATTAAATTTTAAAAATTAATGTACTATAAAGTAAATTTCCAACATATATTGAGCAGCTGTCGGGATATGACGTGCCTTATGTTGCTTGTATTTAATTTAAACGATTGTTCGGTATTATTTAATCGATATGAATTTAATCCCAACTTATCCTTTACCAATGAGCATATTTATGATTAAATTGTGATGTTGCCGCGTTTTTACCTTTCTTGTAAATAAGAGAAGAATAAAACGGATCATTATCGTGTATAACAGGTGGTACATTCAGCTCAATGTCGTTATGCAGTGCAGGCTGTAGAACCTGCACTATAAAAAGTTGCGACGTGATATTATCTTCTCGTATCTAAAAGCAAAAATTGTAAAAAATAAAGAGACCTGGAAATATGCTAAACTTAGTGATACGTATTTCGTCGATGCTGAAAACAAAAATCAGATATCAGTACAAAATTTTGTAGTATAGTATAATAATATTAAATATTTATATAATATATTGAACAGTTTAATTTCTACTCAGTGGTTTAAACTCCCCGAAATTATTGCAACAATTGAAAGATCATTTTTATCTTGTAATTTATTAGCATATAATGGACGGATTCATTAAGTCTAACGGATCGGCATGACAACGTCCGCAAACATCTTTTTTCGTTGCCTAAATAAAGTCACATGTCACTAATTCGAATAATATAAAAAAACAATTACCTCATCAACAATCTGGTAACTGAAATACGTTGCAAATGCATTACTGAACCATTGGTGAGACCACTCCAGTGGGCTCACGAAACTCTCGATGTTTTGTCGAGTTATTTGTTTTGCTACCGTTTTCTGCACATCAATTAGGCGTCCGGAAAAATGCGAATCCGAATCATAAATGAGATCACTTTCTCTGAAATTCATGTTTCCAGATATGACAATGTTGAGAGTTCTTTCAAGCGTTAATCGCAGACACTAAGATAATTCGAGACTGTTGACATTGCGGAATGTTAAAAATTTTGATCGAAAATTCTGCCCGTTAAAATTGATTTCTGTGTTAAACGATATTGCATATGCTTATGACAAGTACACAGAATTCCGGACTGCTGAATCTTTTCTTATGCCTCCTTGTTTTTTTTAATATTCTAGTAACGCGCATTACCTGAAAACTGCGAATCCCCAGGCTCCTACGGCATTGCTTATCAAGTTTCGATACGTCAAAATATAAAATTTGTCATTAATCCACAATTTATTTATGTTAGAACGTAAAAATTTATTTGTTTTTTTAACGATCTCTTGGATGTCAGGCATGTGTTCTTTCTCGAGTTTTGTGAGCCACTGTATTATGTTCTTCCCTGACACGTGATATAGAGCGGTGTCGACAATTACGATCGTCACCAAGTAGGTGGACATCACTGGTGTGGTTTGGAAAGTCGTCTGTTTTTGCTGTTGTGTCGAAATTCTTGAAGTATCTTTTAAATTAAACGTTTCATTCGTATGCGGCATGTTTGATAAGACATCGGTTGTGGATGAATGTACGACGGAAATATTGAAAGTTGCCTTGAACTTCGGCTCGTCCCAGCATGGAAACAAACGTCGAGCACTAATCCGTTCGAAAAGTGTTATGTACGCTAACCTATTCGCATTTGAATAACATTTCAACAAAGACGCAACCTCTACCTCTGTCGTGAACCGTTATTATTCTCTAATCTCACGTTGTTCTCGCTATACATGAGATTCGGGTAACGTTCGCAATATTATTTTTTTAGTTAGAATTTTCCCATAAATTCTACAGTCAACATTTTTCTATAAGTATGCAAACTTCTTATTTAACACGCTTAGCAACTCGTCGAAAATATTTGGTTCAATGCTTTTAACACGCGAGAAAAACCTTTTTACTTTGTTAGAACAACCTGACCTTGAACAGACGTGTTAATATTCGTTTATTTCATTTTTATTGCATGAAATATATAGTTATATGTTATAATAATTAATAACATATAAGGAATAGTATAGTAGTTCGCACATAATTGCGAGGCTTATTAATTTGATGGAAATTAGATATTCTTTACTTCACGCAAATCTCTCAGTATATGTACGGTAAACAGCGCAGAAATAACAGTTTGTTTTTCATATTTCATCTGTTACTTACGTGTTATCGGCTGATACATTTAGGTTTCTGGTCACGACAAAACCTTGGGAGCTGTGTACTTTAGCGTCGAAGTTTAGGCTTAACGTGTAATTCCCAGGGGACAGTTTCTCGTGAAAATTAAAAATGTGCACCTGCGGCAGGTTACAATAGCTATGATCCTTCCAATTTACGATCGTGTGTTCGCTGTCATGGCTTCTTTCATGCTTCCGAAGCCTTACTGATTGTAAGCTTATGAGCAAGTCTTTAGTATGAAAAATAATCCTCTCAATTTTGCGGATTACTTCGATGAGTACATCGCTATACCCGCTGAAAGTCTTCCCGTCTTTCTTCTGTATCAACAGGATATTGTAATGTCGGGGTACTATTTCTGACGGTAAATGGTAATCGAGTGCACTGAGTGAACAACTTGTCAAATACCCGCTGGCATCATTCACGACGGCGAATATCAGGCTGGCGCCGAAGATTAGAAACGTTACCCCAATTCCAGTCATCTGTAAGATCATTTTTTTCAACGAAGGAAATTAGACGATATACATAGATGCACATACGGGATTGTAAATTTCATTAAATAAATAATAACGCAATTAGTCGACAATAATTTATAGTATCATTGTGATCTAAATTGCTTTCTCATACCTTTTTAATCCCATCAGGACTCAATGTCGTCACAAGACCAAGTAGTTCAGTGAGCAATATCTCTGAAAGTTTATAAGTACTTCTCATAGAATATCGCAATACGATCAATAAATGAAAACAAATAACAATGTCCCGAGAAAACAAACAATCGTTCCGTTTCAAATTCCAAATCATTCGTCCAATTTTTTGCGTGTGTTATTCGAGGAAATTTCGCTCGATAATAACAGAATTACTGCGATTGCTGCTTTGCGCAATCGGCCGGAAATCAAACAAAAAACTAACAAAAATCAACAATAGTTAATATATTGTTTGTCGTCGTCGATAATGTTTCATATAACAAATAACAATAACGACAATGGAACGAACTTATCCTAGAAGGAGGAAAATGTGTGTCGCAAATTGTAACGTTAATAACCATAAAATTTATTTACGCGAGTTAAGACACGCGTACATTTGTTAACAACGGGACAAATAACAAAAGTTAATAACAAAAGTTAATGTTAATTAATAAAAATGAATTAATAAAAGTTAACATTTCTCGTTAATCGATTGTTGTCCACTGTACTCACTTTGTAATTTCAATTTGACTCGCGTTCGGCAATACGTTCGATATGCTTCTTCTCTTTCGCGTCATTTTCGAGTCACTCGCGAACGATTGACAATATAGTCGTTAATTAAATATGCATGCGTAAAATCGCACATTTCTTTTTTTTTAACTCGAAGTAACGACAAATGTTGCGGCATTCTGCACTGATGATTGGATAAGCAGTCGCGCAAATGGAACATGTGACTGCATAATAGACGATAGCCGACTGTGGAGATTCTCATTGTCACAAAATGACCGACGAATGGCAGAGATGCGGGACGTATTTAAATAGTGTTCTATCGCATCGTAACATCAAAGGATTCACGCAGTGAGTCGATGACATCCGAGCACCGTAACGCTTCATAAATCCATTGTCAAACGTGACGATATAATATATGCGGGTTTCGTTGAATCTCACTCGGTTAGCTCGGAAATGGCACGAAAATATTTTTAGGAAAACGATAGTTTTTTTTAGAAGAAAAGAGTAACAATATAATTCTGTACAGTTTCATTAAAAATACCATAATTTTTGTCATTCGAGAATAATTTTTTTTAATTGAGAGGAAAAAAATGGATAAAAAGAACGATATCTTCGAATTAATACAATTCTTAGTTTGAAAATGTCGTTATATTAAATATGAATACATTTTCAGTGGAATAATAAAGAGAATAATATATTATCTGGTTATCAAAAATATTTATTATTGTATAATTATTTTGTAAAAACAAGAGGAAAAATACGTATATGTAATATAATATTTAATAATTAAAAACGATCAGTATAGCTAAAACTATTCATAAATTAAATAAATATATTATAAGTTAAATAATAAATAAATTTATAAGTTAACACAAGCTCAAGTTAATCTAGTTATTGGAGAAATCAGAAATATTTATACATGATATTTTTCTGTTAGAGATAAATAAATAAATTTCTTTTTTGATCTGATCTTGCTGAGAAACGGCTTTGTATTTCCGCTCGACCTGCGACGACTTATACGCGCTCAGAGAGCTTCCTTCCAAGTTTTAAAACATGCTTGATGTCCTAACTGCGAGTGTCGATATTGTTCTTCGTAGGTAGCGATTAACATTTAACAAAACGCAGAATAATCCTTATCTTATAATCCGTCTCGTCTCGCTCGGTATTATTTCATATCTTCGTATGACGGGAACTTATCGACCTATCGTAGCCACGTTAGCGCAATTCGATTGTCGTCTGCGCATTGTAGGTTAGAATTTACTCTCAACCCTCATACGACCAGATTAAACAATCAAAATTGACATATAAGGTAGATTATAAACAGGGGCCCAACTTGGAATACGATAAAATCAACGAGTGCAAAATAGCGGACGGAAATGAGCAACGATTCAAAGAAACCACGAATTTCGACTGATTGTTGAATGGAATAACAGTAAACAAAAAATTAAAATCGTAGTTTTACATTGCTGTTAAAGATTACGGCTGCTATTAAGTAGTTGACTCGTTGCAATTAATAAAACTAAGGCGAAAAGGAGTTGTCATAATTAATCAGATGCAATTGTATTTGTCAAGTCTAATTGATTGAAGAGGTCTGCAAAAGAGCAAAGGAAAAAAGATCAGTTGTTTTAACTTAATTGTCCATGTTTATTGTCGCAGCATTTGATGGATCATCATGGTTGACTTCGGGCTGAGACGAGTCGTGCATTCTCAGAAAACTGTATTATCCAGGTAACCCAGATCTTCGGATCGTATATTTAACTGCAGCTGTGAGATGTCCTTCAGAGTACGACTAGCTCGCAGCAGACCTATGCGTTTGCTACGCAGCATCGCTCTCAAGTGCTGGGCCTTCTCCAGTGTCTACTTGCTAGTCTGCTTCCTCCTCTACTGGCTATATGGCGGAGTCTTGGCCTTCCTCCTGCTGTGTTTTGCCACAACTGGTTTGTATCAGATCCTTCTGTCTGCTTAGAGATTCAGGTTTAAATTTACAATTGTTATTTAATACAATGGTAGTGAAGTATGTAATTTTAACATGTAATTATCCAGGAAAAAGATTATCTATCTATGTGTATGTATGTATGTATGTATATATTATTTCTTCATTTATAGTTTATTATATTGTTTCTTCCTAAAATGAAATGATCTTGTCAATATTTTAATTAAATCTTTCAAGTTGACATTTTTAACTTTAAGTCACCTATTTTTATTGCAGGGATATTGTACCATAAAGAGGATCAGCTTCTCTACCATCCAGAACAGCCGGCGCATTCCAGAGTATATGTCCCTTCTCCTTCCATCTTCAATCTACCCCATCAGAGCATGTATATCAAGTCTGGTGATGGAACAATGCTGCACATGTTCTTCATTTCCCAACCGGAGGACAAGATGAAGAAGGTGCCCACTATCTTGTTCTTTCACGGCAATGCTGGCAATATGGGTCATCGGTACGCTATTATTTTCAATGTTGTTTTTGTGGTCAGCGCTACATCCGATGTCATTTATCCTGTCAAAATTTCTAAAACGCACTGTGTTTCAATTGGAGAACTTTTTCATGCTAAAAAAGAGCGATAGTCGCAGAAACAGAATTCAGAATGTTAAGTGTAGTAATGAGTGAGTATTTCATTCGTCTGCTTGTTTCCTTCTTACAGGCTACAGAATATAGCAGGTTTATATCACAATTTACAATGCAACATTCTAACGTTAGAATATCGGGGATATGGCTTGTCGCAGGGCTCCCCGTCGGAAGAGGGCTTTTATATGGATGCTCGAGCCGGCATCGACTATCTGTTCACTAGAACGGACATAAATACCAATGAAATCATAGTGTTTGGTAGATCTTTAGGTAATTAAAATCAAGTTTTACAAACTTAAGTTAAAATTTCGATTATATTAAATAAAAACTTGTATATATACACATACAATGAAGTTGACCTTCAAATGACCATGAATTATTAACTATATACATTGTATTAAATAACAATTGCAATTATTGACTATATAACGAAATTAAGGTCATCTTTTGTCTCCCTCCAAACCCTACAACTTTAATCTGAAATATTTTTCCGCATTTTCCATATTTTTCGAAATATTTGTTTGTTAAGATTAAAATGAATTGCCCTAATGTAATATATATATATATATATATATATATATATATATATATATATGTTACACGATATTATCTCGGATAAATGAAATATGTAGCGAAACCATTATTGATCCGGAATTTTATATATTTAAAATAAAATGTAAGCACACTTTTACATTGTTTTCCGTTTTACAATTCTAATAGGTGGTGCGGTGGCGATCGATTTAGCCACAAAAGAAGAGAACTCGCGGCGAATTTGGTGCCTTATCCTAGAGAACACATTCACCAGTATACCAGACATGGCCGCACTCTTCGTCGGATCCAAAATCCTACAATATCTGCCACTCTTTATATACAAAAATAAGGTGGGAAGCAACGAAATTCTATAGCATTCGCATACAATTGTATTTTCTCCTTCCCCCAAATTTCTTGTGTCAAAAAAAAGATTTCCACATACAACTCTCTCTCTCTCTCTCTCTGTCTCTCTCTCTCTCTCTCTCTCTCTCTCTCTCTCTCTCTCTCTCTCTTTTTCTTTCTCTCTCTTTCTTTCTAAATAATAAACATAAAATTTTCAAAACACATACTTGCCTCTCCCCCTCTCCCTCCGTGTATAAAAGATATAACGCCAACATATTTTCTCTTTTCATCTCGCAGTATTTGTCTATCCTCAAAGTGCGCTCGGTTATCGTGCCGACACTCTTCGTTTCCGGTCTGGCGGACACCTTAGTGCCGCCGCGCATGATGGAAGATCTTTACAAATCTTGCCGAAGTAGTCACAAGCGATTGCTTCCCATTGCTGGTGGCACGCACAACGAAACGTGGTGCCAGCCCGGATACTACCAGAACATCTGTGCTTTTTTGCACGAGCTCAGGGATAATCCGCTCCCGAGGGTGGCGTCTAGTCATTGGCACATAGACGATATCTAACGATGGATTGATTTGACTTCAGAAAGGGACATAATTTCAAGAGGGAGGAATTAAAAATAAAAGCATTCAGTGATAATCAAAGAAATGATTTGATTTCCTCCGAATCTTTTTTTAAAATATCGGAACCGAGTTTGTTAATTAAATTAACAAATTAGCTGTCAAATGTAAGATTTACTGTGTTGAATTGTGGAGAAACAGAGGTAATAAATATCTTTTCTATTTTTCCTCTGTGAAAATCTTTTAATGTCCTTTCTGATATCTTTCCGCTTCTTTCCAGTTCTGTAGTTATCTCTATCTTTATCATCTCCTTTCTTTTCTCAGACTTCTCTCCATATCTATATCTTCATTTTTCTTCTCAGCAAAATACCGTTGTATTTTAAACTCCGAATTAAGGATGTTACAAATCGGCCTTAGTAACATAAGAGGGGAAGATGCACATAAAAACACCTGCCGCGTGCGCTCCAGGCGTTACCGGTTATTAGAAGAAGATAGACGTAACGATTATCTGTCTCCTACTCTCTTTCTCTCTCTTAGGCGAGTTTGCTGTGATACAATGTTCACTCTGACGAAACTAAGTTAGTCTCGCACGCTCTTATGCTAAAAGCGTCGTTCTATATATATATATATGTATGTATATATAGTTGGAAAATTCGTTTCAAATTTCGCGCGCTCTACGTTGCTATGGTAATCAGTAAAAGTTGGGGGCGCTCCAGACGATTTTGTGTTTGCCAACAAACCTTCCTTGATCTGTAAGTCTGTCAAAAGAACCGCGCAGGCCTTCCTAAATGCAACCATTTCGGCAGAAATCAGGGCAGATGGAGAACCAGAAGGTCCATTTTCACCATATAATGTTATGTTGTTTCCAGCATGGTTTCACAGCTTCGCAGATCCTGAATGAAATGTCTTCTGTGTATGGAGATGTTTGCCTGAGATGTAGAGTGGCCAAATCGGGGCTTTTTCATATTTATATATATATATATATATATATATATATGATTAATATAAATATATATATGAAAAAAATTAAAATATTAAAATATTACGCGCGCGTTTTGGTCAACTCTTTGGCTAAATTCATCTTGTACGTTTTCGTGCTGAAATCGTTCTATCTCTCTTCAGCATGTATAATGAGAAAGAAAGAATATATATTTATTTATTTATTTCTATATTTCTATATTTTTTATTTTTCATTACATTGCTGAAGGGAGATAAAACGATACTTTTAGCACGAAAGTATGCTAGATGAATTTAGCCAAAGAGTTAACTAAAATATGCACATAATATTTTAATATTTTAATTCTTACCATCTTCTATGAATATCTCCTATAATGAATAAATCATTAATTCGTGTCATACAGTTAAAATATATCCTGTGTATAAGTGTGTATTCTTTATATAAGTGTAAAATTATAAAAAGAATGAAATCCACTCCTGGTCAACGTGTGTTTTTTTTTCAATAAATGTATCTTATCAAAATATATAAAAGTATTTCTTAACAACAGTGAAAAGAAAGCAAAATTGAAATAACTTTATTTTTAATTACATCAATATGTCCATTCGTATTTATGTTTTATACATGTACGACGTGCATGTTATTGCTTGACGGAAACCGCAAGAAAATGGTGGTTTCTTTCTTCATGAAGGAAATTTAAACAATTGTTATAAACTAGTAAAGTATATAATTACAAATTAGCACGATTTTACAATTATGACGCATACATTGCATTGAAATATATTTAAATATTAATATTCCTCCTAAAATCTCCTATTTACTCGTCTTTTCTTCAGTACTACTTTTCGAGTCAGCATAATGCCGATCATCATTAGAATTGCGAATATCGTGGCTGTAACGCCCAAGGCGATGAGCATCCCGCTGCTCGAGTTGAATGTTGTCTTTTGCCGACTGGACACTCCCGCAACATTGATGATCATTCTTTCGGAAAGAGCGCTGCAAAATTCCTTATTTTGCCACCGGTACCAATGGGCTAGCCTTAATTTAGCGAAAACAGGCGGTCCGGCGCACCTAAAATTCATTTGCACGTTAAATCAAGAAGATGGGTCGTTTATTTTATTCGTTATCCGTAAATAAAAATATTACGAGAATGAGGAAATTGTATTAATATCGATTTACATTTACCTCAGTTCCTCCAGCAGACGGGGCTGCGTCTTGTAGAGATAAGGAACCAATTCATCCAGCATCCACTGCAACGAGCAGTTGCAAACGAGCGGGTTACCTTGCAAATTGACGAGGTAATTCGGATTCTTATTTCTACTATCACTTATCAACCTCGATGGAAAGTGAGCGAAACGATTGTTGCTCAAATCTAGCTGGAAAACAAGGTACATTGCGTCATTCGCGCGTGTATCGATAAGACACACAAGTATTGTTCAAGACTTCAAGCAAAATGGACGCACGAAAAAAATGCTATTGTATCAATAGAATCGATCGACAGCACCACAATTGAAGTAAATCTTGATTCATAGCAATATTAATGCAACCAATATATATCGTTCTAATAGCTCGAAAATATTATTGAACTAAAATATTTAAAAAAAAGTCTAAATAAAGATATAATTGAATAGAAAATGTAATGTATAACTTTCTTTTTGCTATCAAGTTCAATAATTCGTGCACGTTTATAATATGATATTGTTATTGAATCAAGAAGACTTAATCCAATTATGACTCAGTGTTGACTGATTCTATTGACGCAACAGCCTTCTATCTCCGTACGCAAACTCCGGCTGTTGACGATGAAATACGTACAGAACACACATTCATGTATCGGAACGCATCCTCCGCGATGGCACGCAGCTTGCTGCAGTTGGAAATAGTCACATTGATACATCCGTTCTCCCTCGGCGACAATCTCCCGAACGTGTCTTCACGTATCTCCTCGATCGTGTCCATGTGACTCGCCTCGAACGCTTCCAGTTTCAGTTCCGACTGCAGTATCAAATCCTCCAGGCGATTTCCACTGACTTTGAGTACTTTCAGCGCTGGGAAGTACGTCGTGGAGATGGATTCAGGAATAGTTGTGAGATTGTTGAACGAAAGGTCCAACGACTTAATGTGCTTTAGCGTCACCGGCGGGAAACCCGACAGGGAGTTCCCCCTGACATTCAGATGCCTCAGTTCCTCCAACAACGTGAACTCTTCCCCCGTCAGGTCGATGATCCGATTGTTCTCGAGATTTAAAACATGGATTAAGATTTTCTTGGGCGCTTCCAGGACGCTGATGAGGTTGCCTTTCGCGTGTAGTTCCTTCAGCCTCAAGGGCAGGTGCACGAAGTTCAAGGAGAGAAGAAAATTGTCGCTGATGCGGAGACTCTTCAGGAACTCCATATACGCCAAAGAGGCTTCCAGGTTACTGAGGCTGTTGGATGAAAGGTCCAGGTGCTCAAGTCGCGGCACAGCATCCAAGAAGTCGCGGAAGTCGGTCAGGTTGTTGTGGGATAGGTCAAGCACCTTCAGACTCGGAAGCGTGCAGTACGAGCTTCTCTCCAGTCTGTTGATCTCGTTGTGACTGAGGTTGAGCCGCAGGAGGGCGGAATTCGTGTTCAGGATGGAGATGTCGAAACTCGACAGGCGATTGTCAGAGTAGCTCAGGTCTTCGAGGTTGTGCAGATCCTGAAAGATGACTGCGTGCACGTTTTCCAGCTGGTTCCCGGACAGGTCCAGCTGCTTCAAGTACTTCATCTTCTTCCGAATCTGGCTGGTCGATAACACCGCGCCCAAGTTCTCGGTCAGGACGAGTTTGTACAGGGGTTGACGCTCGTTCATAGTGATGAACTCGTAATTGAAACTTTCATCGACGAATTTCCCGCGGCAACGTGCGACCAGCCCCGAGTCTGTCGATAAGATAATGCGTGGGAGATATTTTAAGTGCGCGTGTGTGTATTTCCGAGAGAGAATCACAATGTAACAGCCTGATGAAAACTTTGCGATGTAGAACTTCAATGTGGAAGATTAATACGTAGTATCGATTTCGAACTTGTTTCTTCCTCATCCTTTACTTATCTCTATTCGTTATCTCTCTTGTACTCATCAGAGAAGATCGTTAGGTTCCTCTTAGCTGAACTGGATTGCAAGTTTCTTCATTCAGATTGAAATAAATAACATAATGTCGAGCATCGAAAGGAAAAAGACAATGACTATATTCAATAGAACACGTTTATTTTACTGTTGGAAAATCGCTGTGCTAAGATTGGATTATTCGTCTAGATCTAAAGGAATAATCCAATCTCAGCTTAGAAAACTTCCAACAGTTGCGAAATGAACATTCTACTAGATGTAAAGCCAGTGTTCCAGCGCAGCATTAGCACGCCTAAGAAGATCTCGTGTGATCTCACCTGTGTTGACACACTCGCACACTTTGCATATGTCGCATAAACATTCGTTGCTCCACACCGTCAGAACCAACAGTGTCACGATACTGGCGGTGTTAAACATCACGATGTATCAGGTTGTTACGGACGGGGTAACGCTTCCGAAGCGAGAGCTTCACCTGAACTGAGGGTTTCACAACTTGGCCATACAGTGAATACGCCTATAACGGGTATTCTGATAGCGTATCAGATATGATATGTGTGACAGATAATCGGCATCTTTATATTGCTCACTTTACAAACTTCGTTTTATCTCGCCCCTAAATTCATTTCACAATGCTGACTGCGCATTATTGATAACAATGATCGAAATAGCAAAATAGAAAGACATATCAGCCTCACCAGATAAAATGGGAGCATTTTAATGATCAGTGTTATTAGCGAGAGATTAAAATATTATCGATAAAGAGAAGGAAAGTAGGTCAGGAGTTTATCATTTTCCTCGTATGTATGTATTTCCTCCTCTTGATTTTTATTGCAAAGAAAAGGGTATAAAAGAAGATCATAAGTTCAATACCGTCGAGCAATTAAAATAAAAACAAACATATTAATATAATTAAAAAGTGCGATAAGTGCCAAACGTCGGATGGCTCATGAGGCGTTCACGTTGAAATTACATCAATGAATCAATGTGACGCAATCAACTGTCAAACGATGAGTGAATTGTTGAAAGCAGGTCATTAGGATTCTTACATTATTAGCGCAATCCGCTCTTTAGTGATTTTTACAAGAACACTTTACGACTGTTTTTTTTCTACTAAATTAAAGTTAATAGAATATTTTTTTTATTGAATAACATTCCGCATGGAGAACAACGTTCGACTTTTATCAGCCTTTTCTTCGTTTATATTATTATATTCCTTGGTATTTATGTTTGTATTGCTGATATTCATTTTGTATCATTTTATATTCGTTTATATTAATATTTATCCTTTTATATTCCAAATATTGTTGATAATCGTCCTTGAAACAATGATCAGGCACTTTCTGGCGACACGTTCTCCGCGAGCCTAGGGCGCCTTGAAGAACTTCATCAGTGTGGTCTGCTTCTTCTTCGCATTGTCGACTTTTGCCTGTGCCTTCTTCGAAGCCGGCGCTTTCTTTATCTTCTTCCTCTCCTTCTCCTCCTCCTCGTCCTCCGAACAGCTCACGTAAACGTGTACCTTTTTCGTGACTATGAAGCCACGGTCGTCCTTGTACGTCTCGTTCACCATCTTCAGTACCTTGCGTTTGCCATTTTCGTGCTTCACCGCCGGCGGAGACGGGCTCTTAGGTCTGGTGGGCGCCTCCATCTCGACCATAGCCACAGCTTCGGCCATTGGCTCGTCCACATCCGTGTCCACGTCGCTCTGCGCCTCCGAGTCGCTGGAGTCGCTCTGCACCATGATCCTCTTTCTCTTCTTGGCGGTGTTATCGTTCCCTTGATTCCTGATCCGTTTCTTTCCACGAGGCTTCTCCTGTTCCACGACTTTCTGGTTCTCGGGGACCTTTTCCTCGACCGGATCTTCCTTCTCTGGAATCTTGACCGGGTCTTCCTTCTTCTCTGGGGTCTTGACTTCCACGGGTTTCGGGAGGGACGACATCTTCCCGAAGAAGCTCTCCAGGCCTCCTTTCTTCGTCTTCTTCGTTTCCTCCGCTTTCGACGAGGTTTTCTTGGGCTGAAAACTCTCCGTGGTGCCTTTACTCTTCCACAATGGGCTCTTCTTCTTCTCGGAGTTCTTTTCTCCTTCTGTTAAATTCGTGCTTTTCGAAAGACCGTTCTTTCTCTCCTCGGACTCTTTATCCTTCTCTGCCTTAGACGTCTTCGACGCTTCAGGACTCTTCTGCTTGCCAGCTGTATTGAAGAAGTTATTGAATCCATTCTTCTTCGCTGCTGCCGCCTTCTTATCCACTTTCCAGTGATCAGTGGATTCCACAGGCTTCGAATTTGTCACTTTTTCCTCCGTAATCTTCAGTGCCTTTCCCCAACGGAAGAGATGCATCTCTTCATCAGTGCGCTCTACACAGGCGTCACATTTTATGGCACTGTACCTAACGTCGCCAGAGCCAGTGCTGGCGAGCAGCTCTAGATCCTCCAGAGGCTTGTGCACACTGTACAGGTGCTCTGAAATTATCTTAATGTATTTCTCCTTAGCCTTGGACAGATCTGCAGATTTCACAACTTCCACACGCATGCCGTTGTTGCTCAAGGTGCCTATTAATAAGTATGTGCAGTCGATATTGTTGTTCTCGCGATGCTTCTCGTAAAACTCCCACAAAATTTGCTTCGCTACGTTCACGTGGACCTGCAATTCCTGGCTCAGCCATTTGTAGGTAACCTGAAAATGTCATTGTGTCATACATCAATCAATTAGTCCGTTTCGATGCGAGTTAAATGCTGTGCTTCAAGAGGTAGATATTACATCTCGAAATATAATTTTGTTCACTTATATATGAGTGGGTGAATATGTATTATTTCTATTTGTATCAAATTCCTCGATCTCACTTGAAATTTTGATAAAATTACCAGTTTGTCGTGGTCGAAAACGTAGCCAGCCAGAACCTCCAGATGCTCGTCTGTGATCATTTTGAAACAGTCCCTTTGACAAGTGTTAATTTGTCAATAAAACATCTAGCTTCTCAAATTTGATCTAACCTCGTTTGAATCGTAACCTAACCTAACCCAAACCTAGCCTAACCTAATCCTCCATTTGACAGTCCACTAGCTCCACCACCACAGTTTCACCAATTTCAAACCATCAACTCTTTTGTCTCTAGAAAACAAGTTCTTCTATTGGATGTCGAATCTAATAACATCGTGTGAAATCTGAAAATTACTTATAAGAACAAACCTGAAGTACGAAGTCTGCTTCTTCCAGCTGTTACGTGTGGGGTTAGATTTTTGCAAGTATATCTTTAGATTTTACACGAACGTCATATTTTTCAAAATTTCCGCGAAAATCAAAGTAGCGTATTATAAAAAACGAAAATAGGAGATGGAAAAAAGGAAAATGCGATGATATGACCCGAAAAGAAACGTTTGTAAAAGAAGAAAATGAGATTATGTTGAGTGAATAATATCTCACCGGTAAAGAAACGAACTATACCCACGATTTAAATTATTATACTAAAAAGAAATTAATAGAAAGCTTCCAAGAAACATCACGTTGTTCCACTTCGAAATATATCTCATCGCATATTTCCCCATTTTTCCCCACCACGTGGCGCCATCTTCACGGGGCACCAGTGGCGCCGGAGGGGGGCGCTTGTGGCGCTCGCGGCGCTCGCGTCAGTATTCAGGCAGCAACTGTCTCGCAAGTCAGAGCGTTCTCAGATCTGCGTCTATCTCGTATCAAATAATTTGAGCAGCCGCGCATATTATCTTCGCGTCGCGAATCGCGAGCATCGCCAGCCAAACGCCAATCGACAGCGCTGAGACACTCGTCGACCGACCACGTCGCAGGGTAAATCGGGCAAGAGGCAACGGAAGGCCGGTTCAATCGACCGCTCTCTATCTGTCTCACTCTCGCTCTCTCTCTCTCTCGTGACGCCGACCGTGATCGACCCCGGCCGCACGCGCACGCACGCACACACGCACGTACACACCGAGCCGCAGCAGAATTGCTCCGGAACAGGAGTGCGAGCCATCTGCCCCGACTGGAGCCAGCAGGCAGCCGTGCGCGGCCGTTGGATTTTCACGCTACAAGGCGGCCGTCCAGCAGGGCGATACCATTTTATATGACTTTACTTCGACGACAACGAGGTAAGCCGAGCTACCTTTCTCTCTCTCTTTCTCTCTCTCTATACATATTTCCCTATCTCTCTCTCGCTCGCGATTACGTTGTTTCTCTCTTTTTGCATACATTTCCCGTGCTCGTTCTCTCCTCGTATCTTTCTTTCTCTTTTCATATGTATGCCTATATAAGTGTATACGTGTTTATCTGTGTCGCTCGCTCGCTCCCGCACGCTAATTTTAGCGGCCAGCCATTTTGGACACACGATGGCATGCGTGCGAGGCATGGCGGGGCGAGAAGTACGATGAAGTGAAGTTTGACGAGGTGAGGTGTGGCGGGGCGATCCCCTCGTGCCTGCGGAAACGAACGTCTCCCCTCTCTCTTTCTCCGACGACGTCTCGCGTGCGTTGTGATGCGTCACTCGCTGTACGTTGTGCGGCGGACACTCTTCGTCGCCGGTCGATGTTGACCCCGCGTGATCAACGAACGCAATCCCCAAGTCGCACATTGTTATTGCTCGCTTATTTCTTTCGTATTTGACCTTTTCCCTGCCTCTGACCAACGCCGGCGTTCTCTGATCGATGTGTCTTAGAAAAAACAAGTCGGATGAACGTGTGCAAAAAAACACGTAGAATTTATAAAAATGTGTTAATATGACACGTGCGATAGTAATTGGTATCCATTATCTATTATAATCTGTTCGAAAGCGAATTGATTAAAGTCAGAAAGAGAACGGTTCAATTCTCAAGTGACGTAAACAGGTGACACCTGTCAATCGCGCGATGAAACTTCCCTTTTCTGCTATGGGATTTTATGGCGAATGTTTATTCACAGTAGCGCTCATTGTGATTTTGCGTCGGTCGTAACTTTGTCAATGTTTAAATTACAGAAAAAAAGTTGAATTGTATCTCAGCGTCCCCGAAGAGGCAAATTGACGCTTGGGAGTGATTAAAGGGCGAAATTTACAGTCGACTTGGAGACATTTCTCGAGCACGAGGTGTTTTCAAATTCTAATCGCGCGAGGTGGAATCGTTCGATGAAAGATCGGAGTGAGACGAGCACACAGTTGACGTCATGTATGCTATGTCATTTTCTAGGACTATGGAAAATTACACGATTTTCAGTCTTATGCATAACTCATAAAGGACCGTCTACATTAGCCGTAAAATATGCAGTAAGACGTAAGACTAATTGACCATTTGGATTCTTCCAAGAATAATGTTTCGACTGTAGTCGGTCAAATAGCTTACTGCTTACGTCTTATTGCATATTTTGCGGTTATCGTAGACGGTTCTTTAGGTTTATAGTCGCACAAATAACTCTAATTGTAATGTAATAGGGTTATAATGACGTTAATTATAACGGTTTTGACTACATATGTATGTATGTAAGGCTAAAAATGATAAAATCTTCGATCTAGGGAAAACATGACGTTGACACGAATACAGGGAGAGGAAGAGAGAGGGATGGTGCGAAGTGCCTAAACGAATGCTTTAAAACGAGCAGAAGGGCTATTACGATTCTCAAGACGAGGTGAAATTGATAAGAGTGAACGAATTTACCGAAATATTTATAATATCATTAGCCAGCATCTAGTGAATTTGCTCACTTTTGTAATTTTCACCTCATCGTGAGAACCGTAAAATTCCTCAGGTCCATTCGAGATAAGCAGTTATTCGCGCAGAAGTATCGTATCTGTGTCGCGATAGGTGTATCGTGACTGTCCGCAATGATGAAAACGGACTAGGAGACGATTGGAAGTTCGATAGCCGGGATCGCTTTTATTCAACTATAAAGCGAGCGACTGTAAGGTCGTAAACGATCGAGGATGTCCGTCACGTATACCCTTTTCGCGTGATTTCACCGACGGTGTTTACAGAACAGGCCTGACGTTTGCACGCGGGTCACATGTATGCTTTAGGATCCGTGACTTTGATTTATACATTTTAATCGCATTTGGTCGCCTCACGTTCGCGAGAAGAATCAGGTGGAGTCTTGCGTATTAACGATTTTTCTCGCTTTGCGATTGGATTGAATTCAGGCCTGTTCTTCACAGCTGCATTCTCGGAAGATACCTCGCGATCTTTCCGTTTTCTTCTCCGTTCCAAGCCAAATGCCGAGTGCAGACAGCAAGTTGGTGCAGCCGTAAGGAACAAATCTTTCAATCTCGAGACGACGTATTCGATTTGAATTTAATTAACATTAAGAAGGTTGCAAGGCTCAGTGTCGTATTTTCAGTGACGCATCGAGGGGATCGCTCATAAATTTAGTATTTATCAAGCAAAGTTATGTTTTTACACATTTATTTCACCATTTAAATGTTAATTTGAAACACAAAGTTGAAATAAATATATGTACATAATGTTACAAATAGGAAAATATGTACATAATGTTACAAATAGGAAAATTTTTTTATTCTTCTTATCAATGCTAAATTTATGTATCAGCTTCTTATCAATGCTAACTTTATGCATCAGCTGATCCAATAAATTTATACAAATAATAGAAACAGATAAATAAATATTCAAATATGTGCATATGTGTATGTATTCGAGTATTTCTATAAATTATGAACTTTATATCGCTGTATTTGCAAAACAACATGATCAATAATTCTAAAATTTGTGTATAATAGTTATTAATTCCGTATATTAGTCTTTAATATCATAGTAATTCTTCGTCAAAATCTTATTTTTAGTTCAAGTGATATTAAAAATAAAATTTAAAAATAGCACAATAATCCCTCAAGGAACACATATAAAAAGTGTCAACTTTAATTGCAAATATCTTAGCTGTCAAATGGTCAATCTTTTTTTAATCGTATGAGCAGTCGGATGATATTTCAATATATATGTAATGTAAGTTTCATTCAATTCTTATCAAACTCGCTTCATTTTACAACCTCTTTAATCTGATCCCTTGCTGCAATCGTCTTCTTTGCCGTCAAAAGTGAGAAAACTCGTGCCCAAATTCTTACGAAATAGAAGGATACATCCTTAAAATGACACTTGTGATCAACACATTTGTTATATTTCGGAAACTTTCCTTTTGTTCTAACAATTAACAAATAATAATAAAATGAGCGTAACACTCGTCTTCCTTTTTAGCCTATCTTTCCTCACAATTTTGTCATGTTAATTTGTCGGTTATTGATTGATTGATAAAGTAAAAATAAAAATATTTCATCAGAATATTTCAGAAGTATGCTCAATTGATCGCAAATATTACTTTTACAGGCATATCCTTTGATTTCAACGTTTTCCGCAAGAATTTTGGACATGTGTTTCCTCGCTTCTGATGTCATTAATCAAAATGGCTGCGGCGAGGAGAAATAGGATCCTTAATATTAAACTTAATGCTAAATATAATGAATAACAATTAATGAAATTAGCATTTAATGTTGCGCCTGGTCTTCAGCGCTTGTAGACTCGAAAAGTCGAAACACCAGCAGCAAGATTTGGCAGCGTAAATGTGTCACGCGCTTCGAAGTCACGTGGCACGACGGGGAGTCGAAGAAAACTTTTTTGAGAACACTTTGTCGTCACCCAATGCGTTGACTTTGTTCTCACAACGCGTCCCCGTCATCAATCATCTGTTTCCCTTATCCCGCGTCGTATTTTCAGCCGCTGAAAATTACATAGGGGAACGTACACGCTTCGAGGAATCCCGAGATAACCGGAGAATCAACGGATATCCGCAATACTTTCGTGAAGTCGTCCTGAAAAAGATCGATCGGCCGCTGTGTATTCTGAACGCGCAGCAAACGTCAAACATGCCTTTCTGATTCTCAAAGCTTTGGCTGCCGCTGTCACGTATGCGTGACTTCAATCTGTTAGCGGTTATCGTCGTAATAAAGAAACGTGTTTACAGTAAGAGAGATGAACCAATAGAAGCTGTTCGTTAGTCACTGGGTGAGATAATTCAATTCAGCAGCGGAAGGATAAATGATTAAATGAATATAAATTATTAAGTCTACATAAACAAATAAATGAACATAAATAATTAACACGTTAGCTGTCATTATCGTCACTGGTGACCGGTGTTGTAATATCACCGCATCACGTTAATAATTTACATATAAAACGTAATCATTTGCGAACAAATCATTCACATTGAATTATACGTATAGCTAATCTGGAGGCAATAAAGCGAACTAACAGATACATCGTAAATTGCGCCTGTTTCTCGTATCATTGTTAACACAGACTTTAGTCGAGCATTGAGATAATCACTGAAAATCAGAGATCAAGGTGTTAAATTATTGCGCTCGGTAAACAGCGCGAACAGCTGCTATTGGCTCATCTATTTTACTACAATGAACAGAGAGTTTCAAAAACTTCACAAATATTAAAAGAAATATGTATTTATAATAATAGTTTATAGTTTTGATACAGGCTGTGTATAAAGATATAATATGTAGATGATACACAACGACAATGCTCGATTCTGTAGATATGGTTTA